TTTAGTTGGATTTTTTTTTTGTTTGTTTAAATTGAAATCTTCCTGATTTTTACGACTATGGCAAGAATCCAGTCTAATATTTTGTTTGAAAAGTTCTGGCAGCTGGTCTTACCTTTAGATACATAGCAAACCCACTTCAAGAATTATATTTGGGCTTTTAAGAATCCAGAGGGATATTTAGGAATCCAAATTCCTGTGAAATTCACTGGAATATGACAGTACAGGTCTGTTTACTTTTGTTTCCACTGTGACCGTGGAGGACTCCGTGATCACCTGGAAGCAGGAAGCTTACTAGACAGACTAGAATTGCTGATTTGGCTATTTAGAAATAAATCTAGAAATACTGTAAAAATTACAGTAATTACTTGTTCTTCCAGCTGCTCATCCGTGGGTAGGCAAAGACCAGATGAGCGGATTCCTGCTAGCTCGTGGAGTGTCAGGAAGACGAGGCACGGAACCTTCGCTGTTGCCTGAACACGTGGGAGGGTTTCCTTCCCCAGTGGTGCTGGGCTGGCAGCCCATGGCCTTGCTTTCTCCTGCCTGTGCTTACAAAGGGCTTCACTCTCGGTGACAATGTTCCTCACCTGGCCTCACGTGGTGCTGGCCCCACAGGTGCAGCTGTTCTGTGAGCAGAATCCAAGTGAAGAGTCGCTGCTTCAGCATCGCCACACTTTGGCGCTCTTAAATTTCACCTCCATTGCCTGATTTGCTTTTTGAAAGCACAGAAGTGAGATTGCCCTGTTAACAGGATGTGAGGAGGGAAGGATGCTGGTCCGGGCTGGCTCCCACCACTGGGGTGGAGTTCAGCAGAGCGCCAGGGGAAGGGTTACAGTTATGAAGTACATCCTTAATACTCGTGGTGCAGTTCTAACAACAGATTCATTGCATTCATTGATCCCTGTCTGATGCCACTGCAGAGTAGTGATTGCTGGTAGGGTCCTGTTTGGTGGGGGGTTAAATGCAGTTTCTGTAATGAGTTTGCCTGTAGCAGAAAACTGTAGTTCCAGGTGTGACCTGAGGACTGCTTTAAGGTTAGGTTGATTTGTTTCCTGCAGCTCAAAGTGCTTAATACTGTTTAACAGAAATCTTGCTGCAACTTTACTTTTGGTTTTAGTTTATGGCAAATTCTTATCTAATGTGTTTCATTAAAGTATGGAGGGCCTAGTAGCAACACAGTGTTACTGAAATATATTGAACACTGCATTTGCAAACTACCAGATAGCTTCTAGATGAATTAAGTTATGGGTCTTTGAACCCATCAACTCTGTGTCTACTGCAGACACATCTATAGACCTGCTTCCGTGGTGGTGTCGCAGGTGCTCCTTTTGAGATGCAGCCATGGACAGCATGGTGTAGGGCTGGAGCAGAAACTTGCCTAAACTCTGCAGGTGATGTGGGTGAGGGGAGATTTTTTTTTTCCCCTCTGTCAGCTTTTTTTAATCTCTTTTTTTTGCCCACAGTCAAGGAACTGGGTGGTCCTGGCTTCATCACCCATCTGTGGGATTTCCATGGACTGTGGCGCAGAACACTGTTAAATGCAAGAAGATGTCAGTGGGGGGTGGTGCTGCTGCAGATGAGGGGCTGAGGCTCGTTGGGTTTCTCCTGAAGAGTTGAGCACAGCGCTGTGTGGCTGCGTAGCTCTAACCGCACACGGAGGTCTCATCCTCACCAGCGTGAGACCAGCTCAGTAGAACCAGTACCTTTCAGCACACACAAGAACCCTGAAACTCCCTGGACTTGCATCATGTATGTGTTGGCAGCTTAACTACTAAAAAGTTACAGCTGCCCTCAGAAAACTTATTATTCTCAATGGTTTTGCCTAAAACTGAGAGATGTACTTCAGGAAAACTATTTTGATTATCATAGTTTGATGTGGCACTGTGTACTTGGGCAGAGGTGGGGTGAGATATACAGATAGAACTTTAAGGCTTGAAATTTAGGTGGGGTGTGGCTGATGAAGATGAGAAGTTCTGAGGTTCTGGTTTGAGGGAAATCATGAAATTCTTTGGCTTTGGAATAAGCTGGTGAGAAATGCCTCTGGGAAATCATGAAATTCTTTGTCTTTGGAATAAGCTGGTGAGAAATGCCTCTGGGGAGGACATGTCTGCGTTTTAGAATACAAAATTGTTTCTGAAGTCTCAGGAGCTGTGCAGTATTAAAAAAAGGATGAATAAAGTGTTTAAAAGTAGATGCAGAATGAAAGACAAGTCCTTATGAGGCCACAAAGACAATCAGGCCATATAGACAATCTGTGTTTTCACTTGCATATTTTGAACTGGGGTGAAGATGGCAGCTAACAGCAGCTGGTTTGAAGTGGAAAAGAAGGATTTCTTGTATTACTGGAACTTTATTTTTGTACTCCAGAGCAGGATTTCCTACTTGGGATGTGCAGAGGGGTGAGACCGTTTTTCATGGCAGCATTATTCAGAAGCCAGTGTTCATCCTACATCTCACTTGCACACCACACGTACCTGTGCTACCTGCTACTCCTTGTTCTCTGTCTACTGAAACTTTGGTGCAGAAGCTCCTTGTTTACATGAAGCACTTTCTGATTAGGCTGGAAATTGACACCTTTTCCTTCTATAAATTAGATGGAAATGACAGATTATTGACTATTTTGCTTGAGGATAGAGGTATAAACATTGTTTTTTTGAATGAGGGAGACTCTTGCTCCTTGTTCTGTTAAAGAGAGAGCTCAGACTTGCATTTAGTGAGCAACATGCAAAAAGGTCTTATTCCCCTTTCCCCAAACCCAACTCCTCTTTTCCTTAGTATGTGGATGAATAACTTAATTGCTAAAACACATTCTTCCTTTGAAATGTTTTGTTGTTCCACAGAATTACTGTAGTTGTGTATTAGTAACTGCTGTGTTGATTGGCAGTTTCATGTTGTATTTTCCTGTTCTTAAGGATTTTCACTTACGAAAATTAAGGCTGTGGCCACCTGTACTTGTAAGCCTTGGGTTTTGGTCCCGTAATGTCCCAAATGTACGTCTTTAGCGGTTCCTTTGGTTTGGGTTTGGGAAAGGGGTGGGGGGCAAGGGGGGGTTGGGTGTTTTGTATGGGTTTTTTGTTTGGTTGTGTTTCTGGGTTTTGGTTTTTTGGGGTTTTTTTGAAAGAACACTAATGCTGTTTGAGGCACTGTTCTAATAATTCTATGCTTCTATGGTAGAGGTGGTGCTGAGCCCTGCTGGATGCAGGGAACAGCTTAGAGGGAAACGTGTAAAACCGCATTTGGGGTTTCTGTAATTACCTGTACTGCCAGAAGGCAGCCCTGCCCGTGGCAGTGTTAAGAATTTGTTTCTTGTCCTTGTGTTGTTACTGGTATAAAGTCAAGTGCCTTCAATGCTAAAGGCTCAGAAAACTTTCTTAAACTGACTTCATGTCCTATGCAAGTGTTTTTTCTACAACCTGCATAACCAGTACTTTGTAAAACTTGTTTACGCTTCAATTGTACATAGTGTTTTTTTAAAAAAAATAGTATTTTTATTTAGGTACCTCCAAACTTGAATTCTAGTCTTGTGTGATGCATTGTAAAACAATACATTTCTCTTTTGAGTACCATTACAGTTGTAAAAAGGTTTTCACTGGTTCTATTTTTCTACTGTTGCTGAGAAGCATGTAACACTGACTTTATCCTACGTATAGTTGGCATTTCAAATAAATGGCTTGTATAGAACGTGGTTGTGTGGCTGCTTCCCCTGAGCTGCACCCAGCACCCTGCCCTGCTCACCCGGGCGGCCGGGGCCGGGGGAAAGGAGCCCAGCAATAAAGTGAAAAGGCTTTTGGGAAAAAAGGGGCACGATAACACGATAATGCCGTGAACACCAAAGATGTGACACCAGCCAGTCTAAAAGAGGGATTTGACATTAGTCACTCTGATCAGGCAGTCAATACAAGTGAAAAGCATTTCAGTGAAGTAGTTCTGTGAGTTGTGGCTGGACCTAACTGAGGCCATGCCTTGTGAAAGGCAGTAGGGCTGCTTAGAGCTGGGCCTGGGGCCGCAGCCCTGGCTGCAAGGAAGCGTGTGTTCATTTTCTCTTCTCAGCAGCTGGACAGGTATGTCCAGGACCGAGCAGTCCCAGGCTGAAGTTTCCCTGCCAACTATTCCAGCTGACAGTTCATTACATCTGTGTCTCAGAAACAAGTGCCTCGCTGCTTCAGGCAGTGACTAAAGTTCAGAAGTGTCATCTGGCCACTTGCTGGTCCCACTCTGGTGTATGAGAGCAAAATACTGTGGGTTACATCCTGACACGGAGCACAGGTGGCTTAGGAGAGGGAGAACTGTGTGGTCCCACATGTTAATTACTGACACCTTCACTCCCACACCCAGGAAGATGAGGTCTGGGAGCTTCCTAAATTAGACAATTTTAACATTTTTTCTTACAGGCTGTCACTTTGCTACAGTGCTTCTAAGCCTGCCAGCCTCAGCTCAGAGAAGAGGATGCCTGATGTCTGTTTGCTAAGGGGAAAGGGAGACTTGGAGCTGAATCCCTTCAGGTGGACCCTGCTTCAGTACAGGCTGATGCCAGGAGTGGACAGTGCTCATGGTCAGTTCTGGGCCTGTGCTCTGCAACTGGAGCCACAGGAATTCTACACTTGAACTCACTCCTTCCATCACTGCTGTATTTTCTCAAGCACAGCAAGGCTGGCACTGGGCCATAAAGCATTTCTGTGATCACTGGGGCCTTTCACTTTTTTTATTTCCTGTGGAAGACACAATTGCCTTTGGGTACCCTCTCCCCCTCTTCTTCAGTAAATTACAGAAACTGCAACACAGAGGAAACATGACCCTGTCCTGCTCTAAACTGCACTTGCCAGCAGGCTGCCATCCCTTATTTCACACCTGGGTCCAGAAATCCTGGGTTTGACTAGCCCCCATTATACCCCTTGGTGGCTTATCTAACAGGTCATCACTGGGCTCCCTGTGTCTTCCTGGATCGATGGAAACAAAACACTACAGCAGCACTGAGAGAAAACAAGACAGTACACAGTGAACAGTTCTTTTAATCTTTTTATACTGTAGTCAGATGTGCAGTTACAGCTCCTGTAACAGTTGCTACCAAAAAAAGAGCATGTACAATACCCAGAGTTAAATTTAAAAGCAAATAGGAAAGGGCCCTGAGGGTCGATGACACATTGAGCATGAGTCAGCAGTGCCCTGGCAGTCAGGAGGGCCACCCATGTCCTGGGGTGCTTCAGGCCCAGCATCACCAGGCAGGCGAGGGAGGGAATTGTCCTGCTCTGCTCTGCACTGGGACTGGTGCCCCAAGTGCTGCGGGCAGTTCTGGGCACCACAATATAAAACAGATACAAAGCTGTCAGAGAGTGTCCAAAGGAGGCCACAAGGATGGTGAAGGGCCTGGAGGGGAAGCCGTGTGAGGAGCAACTTTGGTCACTTGGTCTGCTCAGCCTGGGGGAGACTGAGGGAGACCCCACTGCAGTTACATCCTCCTGTGAGGGGAAGAGGAGGGACAGACACTGATCTCCTCTCTGTGGTGCCCAGTGACAGGCAGGACTGAGGGAATGGCCTGAAGTTGTGTCAGGAGCAGTTTAGGTTGGATATCAGGAAAAGGTTCTTCACCCAGAGGGTGGCTGGGCACTGAACAGGCTCCCCAGGGCAGTGGTCACAGCACCAGCCTGACAGAGTTCAAGAAGTGCTTGGACAATGCTCCTGGGCACGTGGTGTGACTCATGGGGATGGTCCTGTGCAGGGCAGGGAGTTGGACTTGGTGATCCTTGTGGGTCCCTTCCAACTCAGCATCGTCTATGTTCTATGAAACTGCTCAGCTGAGTATCTATGCTAAACTACTGTTTGTAAATAAAATGGTCAGAAACAGTTAATAGTGAGCATGATAAGTCTACTTTGCTTTTCAAAAACCATTAACATGGAAGCAGAATAGTACCCCAGGATATAGAAATTCTCAGAAACTAGAAATTTAATGTATGTTTTGGGTGTCTAACTACATTAGGCTCCAAACTTACAAAATCTTAATTTTTAATTGCAGCTATGTGTAGTCTTAAAAGTCAGTGAAACATCTCCTGTCCCATGATTATCACAGTGGTTATAAAAAGAACATTCCATACTGTAGCAAAATACCAGGATGCTGCAGTGTTTTCAGCAACATTTATAAAGTAGAAGAATTTGCTGTAGGCTAGTTTTTAAAATCAAAGCATATAACAAACCCCTGATGCTTAGTCTGTAATTTAGTACCTCTTCCTAGCTCTTGTTTATGTTCTGATGAACAAATTAAGATCATCCGGAACTTTTTTTACCACAGAAATCATCCCTCATCCAATACTAGAAATAAGGTTTTTTTAATGTATAAAACCAGACAGAACACTCTGTAGCATCAAGCCTAAGCTCTGCTTTCCCATTCGTGAGCAGCCCGGGGAGCGTTTCCCCAGCGGGAGCAGGCAGGCAGCAGCGCAGGTTCAGCCACAGCCCGGCAGGAGCAGGCAGCTCCTTGGTGCTGGGGCCCACACCGGAATCGCTGCAGCCCCAAGGGAGGAGGCAGAGCCATTCAAGCAGGAAAGCCGCCGAGGGAAGGGCAGGGCAGGGCGGGTTTAGCACAGGCACGGCTCCGGGCCCCGGCAGTACCCAGGGGAGCGGCGAACGGGAAGCAGCAGGACGCGCTGCTCCGGTACCCGCCCTCCTCCCCTGGAGACAAGGCCGGCTTTCCCGGGAATGCCGAGTCCATCGGTACTGAAATCCCTCTAAGTGCAATGTAAGGATTTGTTAAGAACATGTTTTAGGTGCTACAAATGAAGGACGTATAAGACAAAATGATGATGTTTGTTGGACAGCTGGATTTTGATGAGAAGCCAAAAACTGAAGATGCCTTTTCTGTTTGCCAGTGAACATTGTTTTGCCACGTGTCCTTTCAGACCCAAACCCTCTCAGTCTAACTACAGTAGTACTGCATCCGGTTAGTCCGTCGCCTTTTCCGAGACTGAAATTCTTCAAAGAAGTGCTGAATGTCTTCTCTTTTAACCACCTAGAAAAAGCAGCATGAAACCCAAATTGTGGTGCAAGAGCTTAATTAAAGGATCCTGTTTTATCTCCACCCATAATACACAAAGCACAGGAAAGCAAATACCCTGAAATTTCTCTGGTAACAGCTTTCCTGTTGCACCCGAAGGAGAGGATTAATGCCCAAATTCTATTGTAGATAATACAAAGAGGGAAATTAATTCCCCAAAGGCTGAACAAAGACGTGGAGCAAAGCTTCCAATGGTATTTTAATGACTCTGACCTCTTGCTTTTATCATCAGAAAATTTAACACAAAGCAGCATTTTCACTAGCTCGCTTCAGGGTCATTCCAGTGTAACTAAGAATGGCAATACAGCAAATCAGCCAACAACATGTGTTACTTAAAAATGGCATGCAAATTCCTGCAGGAAAACAACTGACAAGACTGACAATCATAGTCAGTCCTTATTCTTCTAAGGGTTTAGATTCAATCTAAGAAAAACCAGAAAGAACTTTTCTCCCTGAATATCTTACCTAGAGCAACAGAAGTTTCATTTTAATCTAACAACTGCTCTCAGTACCTTGCAGACAGCTTTCTGTAAAGCTCCCATTATCTCTCAACAATATCATTAAGGAATTGTTAAATTCAAATGAAATAAGGGATTTCAGATTTCAATTGTAGTACCAGCAACTCCAAGAGACAAGAAAAAACATTACAACAGAACATCATGGTATTCACCACCCAGCCCCCAGCAGTTCTTTAAAACACATTTTCTGGCAAACAGATTCTGGAAGTTGCACCTTACCGTTCCCTCATCTGCAAACCTCCTGAGATAGTCAGTCAGTTCTGTCTTTAAATCATTGTATTCTGGATGGCAAAGCAAAGGAAAAACAGTAAGATACCCAGGTTTAGTTTAACATAGGCTCAAGAACACAACTCGTTCTACTTCCTCTTGTCATTTGTTAGGTTTACTTCAGACAAATCTAGGTTTGAATTAGATTATAAATAATAATAATGTAAACATGAGAAGCCTAATAATTTATGAGACTAACCTATGCAGTGTGAGTGTCTGTTTGGGTTGATTTCAGAGAAAGGTACAGAGATCAGTGAGTGAATTAGTACAAGCAACTGAAGTTACTCTAAACTGGCCCTGCTCCCAGCTTCCCCCCACAAAAGCATGTGTGGGTCGTGCTGGGAAGGCCCAGCCTGCAACTCGCCACTGGGACACTGCCCTTGCCAGAGTGCTGAGCCCCGACTGGGGGACAGAAACACAGCTCCAGGCATGAAACACCTCAGCACTGCCTTGTCACTGTGCTCTGCAGCAGAGCTACAGGGGACACCTGGCTGGCACTCCCCAGCCAACAGGAGACTGACAAACAACAGAACAGGGGAAGATAAATCAGCCAGACAGCAAAAGTTCAAATTAATGTTTAAATATTCGTGTTACAATAAATCACTATCATTACAGTATCTAAGATGTTAAACAGGATGAAAGTTCACACACCATCCAGTGTCTCACTGTAAATTTAAGTTGTAATGATGGGCCAGAGAGGACCAATCCTGACTGAGGTGTGCAACCTGTCATACAGTTGTCTGTGTGTTACTTCAAAAATACTTTGACACTACACTGCAAGGCCTGATATCAATCTCTTGCAGCAAACTGTTCAGTTGAAGTGTGTTAAGGGAGACTCTAAAAATGAAATTGTATTTACCACAGATGAGTTCCACTTGCTGGACTCTGTTCATACTGTTAAGGGTGTCCATTAAAGGATCTCTCCTCTCTGTCTCTTGGTCACTGGTACCTTTATTTTCATAAGCCAAGACAGTGTCACATTCATCTGTCAGGAACTGGACTTCAAGCTCTGAATACATTTTCTGGAGAAGAAAGTAAAACAGATGTGACAAAACTTCTCAGATGGAGGTGCTCTCTCCCACTCCTTGTTGTGTTCAGTATCACAAATAACAACAATAAAAATAATAACGTGAATCTGTATCCAGATTGTTTCAGCATCTCCTCATAACAACTTCCAAGCAATACTGGATTAAAGCAGCAAAGAAAATACAAACATTTAGAAGCCCTTTGCTGCTATATTAACTCTACAGGATTCCATGTTAATCTTTATGTGGCATGAAGGGAGGTTTCAGCATTAAGAATATTAATACAGATTTTACCTAAATCTTCTCCTCAGTGATTGTCTGGGAGCTCCTCCCTGCCTGTCCCACATCTCTGATGGTAATGAAGAGAACATACATACCAAACAGTCTTCACAAGTGCACAATTTGCTCCTCCAGTTCGATGGCCAAAAGGTGGCAGTATCTTTTTTTACAAATGGCTTGCTTTGGAGCTCTTTCAGCTTGCAGACTGGCTCCTCGCTCTTAGTAACTACCTGAATTAAAATGAGATTGTTCAGTACTCTATAACATCGCTTCAAAGAGTCCCTGTTCTTTCTGGCATGTCCTTCTCTTAGACAAGAATTTTCTTCTGTCTCAAACACATTTATTTTTATAAACAACCTATATTACTATCCACATGAGAATTATGATGTGGTTTCAGCAACTTTCATGGGAAATTTCTGTAGAAATTTACTGCAATAACTGTAAGTATTTAAGAACTCAGAGCTGGACCATCATGCAAGGGCAGCTACACCAAATATTGGAACAAACAGAAGTCACCTCAGTGTACTGGCCAGGTGGCTGAGAAGAAGGGACAGATATAGCCCATCTGCAAACAGACATCACCCCTCTCAACAGCCCTGCCCCACAGCTCAGGCTGTGCTCCACAGAGACTGCAGGTCTGAAATGTCAGTGACTGAAGAGGAACAAGAGAACAGACTGAACACCCCCTCCCAGAGCCTGTACAGAGTGAGGTGGGCTTCACTTCAACTATCAGCAGGATGAAGATGCACAGGCCAGAACAGAAGGTACATTTTACCTCAGGACAGGCCGAACCAGAGCTAGTGGATGGTTCGTTAAATTGTTCCGATTGCTTTTCCTCCTTTGTGTCGTGGTGTTCCACTCCACTTTCTTTTTTTATTTCTTTCTTCTGCTCTTCACTTTCCTCTACCTTCAGGACAACCCCTTCATCTTCAAGGGAGCTCGTTTTGGTCAAAGGAGGAACTGGAAGATACGTACCCACAATTAAAAATACTGTGCTAGAAAAGGTACAGGCCACTCCAGACATTCTCTCAGCTTCTCCTATTATAAAACATTCTGCTTCCCAAAATCTAAGCCCTAGGAGAGGGAAGAGGGTATGTCAGAGTTCTCTACTAAGATGCTTGTCCTTGACACCTCTTGCTAGCTATCACAGTTTCAGTAACTGACACGTGCTTGTCATGTGACTGTCAGTTTTTCATTTTCTCCAAACATACCTCAAAAACACCACCATATTAACTACACTAATCTCTTGTTTATTTAAAACAGGTTTCTGTTTTGATGCCAATTCAAGTACGTGCCCTGTGACAAAGCTGATTAGAAGGAGGAAAACTAAAACCAGACAAACGCCCCATTCTGTACTATTTACATTAGAAGGAAAAGGACTCCAGGTAGCCATCCTTGAAAATACCATTGACATTTTGGGTATACAAGAAATCTCTCAGCAGTTAATACAAGCAGAATTTTTAGGAGACTATTATAAACTAGCTGTTTCTACAGAATTCAAGTAATCTATTCTTTTAAGTCCACAGAGCTGGTGTGACCACAGGGAACGTGTGTCCTGAGCACAGCCCAGCCCTACTCAGATTAATGTTAAACATATTAATTTCAGCTCACTCTATCATTCACTCTTTGCTACTCAGAGCATCTGTAAGAAGTGTTTGTCTCGCTGCTTCCCTTAGGATGGCTCTTCAGTTCTTTGATCCAGTTTAGAAATTAAGTTCCTTGACTCAAATATTAAATCTTCATTCATTTTGTGCCAGACATCTTTGATAAAGTAACTAAAAGCAAGCAGCACTGAATCAAGATTTAAGAATGAAAACTGCTTTTTTTTTTTTTTACACAAGTTACTGCCATCCCACATGTTTTGCTGCTGAAGGTGATTGCCCAATATAATTAATGAGTATAATTTTTCCAACCACTTATAACCAGTGTTATGTCATTAACCAACCATATATGAGAAATACATGCTCAGAAAAAAAATACTGGCTCAGACCTCTTAACTTTCTTTACCTGCTAATTGTGATGCATAAGCCCATAGGAAATGGCAACGTTTCATGCAGGCCTGGCACACCATTTCATGGAAGTCTCCACTTTCAGGGGGAACTGCACCAAGATGCTGTCAGAAAGAAGTAAGCACACAGAAGTGAAGCATCTATATTGATCACATACTGAACTTCAGAAGAATTCAGTCCCAAAGCTGTCCATAAATTGATGAGAACTCTTTGGGCAATTAAAAGCACTTAGTGGCTTTCTTCTGCAAAAGCATTCCTGCAAATGTCATAGTATGCAGCACAACACACTTCATTCATACACTTAATACAAAAGAAGTTTACCTATGAGAACCCATAATTGAAGCCAATCGTTTTTTTTTTTTCTTCTTTGATCCTGCAATTTCAAGCATGGAATGTCACTTGTGCCCTTCAAGGCACAAGAGGCTGAATCCTTAGTGCTTACCCATTAAGCAGGGCACCCACTAAAGTGCTTGGCTGCGTCCCCAAGACTTCCCCAAAGTCTGAAATCAAGAACGAACAGCACAGTCTGCTCCTTGCTACTTAAAGGAAATAAGAGTTTAAAAGGCATTCTTTTGAAGGAAGAACTATTTAGGTAGTTGATAATGATGTGCCTCAGCAAGAATCTTTTCCTCACCAGCTATGCTGATTAGAGTTTTCTAATTAAAGAGACACTTGTAAAGTTATTACTTTATTCTGCAGTGGTAACCTTCAAAAAGGTAGGACTCTTCCCAGTATTTTTTAACTGGAGTGGACAGCAGTGCAAGATTAGACCTTCAATGCTCCTTTGCATAAGCTGAAAACAAATGCCTTGGAACTCCTGTAATAATCTCTTTTGAGAAATACAGCAAACTTCCCAAGTAAGAATTACCATACAAACCTAACCACCACCAACTCGATCCTGTGCAAATGGCAGCTCTGCTATTTATGAGCTTCCTTACCCTTCCATGGAACCAGTCTTCACAAACTATGCACTGGATCATCTCATCTGGAATCTAGATGAACAACCATATTATTAGCATTAATAGCAACCTCCAGAATCTCTCACCAGTCTCAAACTGCAGTATCATGCAAATGCTGCTCAGTGAACTGCATTTCCCTCTTCACCCCTCACAGGGAGCTGCCATTAATAAGCAGTAAGTGCTTTGTTAGTCAGTTTGCTTCCCTCAGGTTCAACAGCACATGTCACCTCTCATATGACTGAGGCTGTGAAATCCCATTTGTTACTACAAAACCAGTCTTCCCAGCAGGGCAAGACTTTCTCACAGAAAGCTGATAGAAGTTAATACACTACTGGTATCCTTCTTCCTATAAGCAGAAATGCATGAACAGACAGCTCAGCAGAAGAAAGATACTGATATTCACTGTCATCAGGTCAGTGAAGGTGCCAGAACCAAACTTAACTGGCCACCATAAAGGACAGTATGAAGTGCTTTGTTGTGAAACAACTATTATTTATTCAGAAATGTTTCTTCAGAAATGTTTTTATCTGTCTCTGAACTTGAGAGAGGGGAGCTTATAAAATGCTTTTCTTGTTGTATTTGAAAGATTTGTGCCTTCCCTGTTCTTTAAAACACCTGACTCCTGTGACTGCAAACAACAGCACACATGTGCAAAGCCAGTGCTGTGTTTTAGTGTTTCAGAGAGACAAAAAAGTGTTCTGGCTACCATCCAGGACTGTAGCTAGTGCTACAGGACAGGACAGACTCTCCCCATCCCAGAAGCCTTGCCAGAGCATTTCTGCAGGCACGGGGAAGCACATTCTGGTCTCTCCTAACACGTGCAAAGCTTTTATTCTGCACTAGACCACATTTCTCAAGGTTATGATAACCCTGTCTCCTAGGGGAACTCTGCAACTTCAGCACCATTTTGTCCAAATGATGACTTGCCTCCTTATCTGTCTCTATGGCATAAACATACTTTACCATTTAAAAAAATTATCAAGTAATTATTTCACACAATGTATGCAAACCAATATGGAACATAAGATTTCTTGAAGTGGGATCTTCCTTGAAAAGCAGCTCAATGATCACCCTTTACACAGTGTCTACCATAAACACCATCTGTGTATGATTACTATTGGATTTTGTGTTTCTTACCTCATCTTCAGGATCAGGGTAAGGTCTTTTACATATACAGTACAGTCCATAGAAGTTGTCATTATATTTATTTCCTGAATTCACCTTGCCTTTTTCCTAGGAGAAAAGGGGAAAAAATCTCAAAAGACAACACAGTAAAAAACAAAATACAGTAAATGACAAAAGACAGCATTTCTGTTCCCCCTTAATTCCTAAAACCATCATTATTTTCATCAGCCTGAATAAACAAAAAGAAAGATACTGTCCAAACACCTCTATTTTACACTGAGCAGCAGATAGGGCACATGAGGAATGCTGAAGTTCAAAACTAAAGAGGAAAAACAGTCTGCTCACCCTCGTAGCAAATGGCAACCGCGGTGTCAGAGAGATTAACAGACAGCTGCTGAAGCTCACTTAACCTGTATAATTGAATTTTCACTGAACTGAAGCAGAAGGAACAACCACGTGATCCATTTCATTGACTCAAATGAGAAATGGTAACATCTTAAAATTGTCACAGGTGTCTCTGTAGGGATCACTGCACGGTGACTTTGCTGACTAGCTCTGGATCCATTTCAATTCTCCCAGAACAAACCAGGCATACACTAAACCACTGTCTGTTTCAATGTTTGGACTGCTATTATCCTGGGAGCACCAGTGCAAGCAAACCAAGCATCCTGTTGCCGCTTCCCAGAAGATTCAGATTGCTAGTTACTTGAAAAGTTCAAAATGCCCACAAAAGTACAAAAGTATAGGCAGCTTAATACAATAAAAAAACATCCCATCAGTAGGCTCTGGTGACAAACTATAAGGGCACTAATGCCATCACAAAGAAGGAGAGGGAATTGTCCCTCTGACAGCAGCACAGCCTTAAAGTTTCTTAATGTGACTGCAAAATTGCATCCCAAAAGATTATTCTGAAACAGCTTAAAGCTAATGAGAGGTATCAGTGCAGAAACACCACAACCTGCTTCTGGAAGCATGCTGACCATGGATGCAGAACTGCTGCACTCATGGATGACAAGGATCAAATGTTCCTTCTGCTCCCAGCATTTCCCTTTGGTCCCTCAACAGTTTTATTCCTTGCTGTAATATTCCCACCTTTTTTAACTCCCTGGGAAGACTGGAGGCGTCGCATGAGTGAGCACTGGCTGAGGCAAGACATCAACCTCCCAAGGCTGTTATTTTGACTCCGAATGCCTGAAACCTGTCTGAAACTTACCGGGAGTAACTTGCACTGCAGATTTTTGAACTTGCTATTTCCACAGTCACAGCGGAAATTCCTGGAGAGAAAAACGTAGCGTTTTAGGGTTTATATAAAGTGAGAACACGCTGGGTTTCGTATTCCTAACAATTCCCAGCAGTTTACCAGCAGCCACGAGAGCTGTGAGGCTCCTACACGGCCGCTCCCGCCCCCGCGCCCGTACCTCTTGGTGTAGAGCTCGAAGAGGCGGTGGGTGCCGTGGCACTCGTAGCTGCAGGCCAGGCAGATCCCCGCGGGCTCGGCGCCGGGCGGCGTGCAGGTGCTGCAGGCGTACAGCGCCTGCCGCTTCACGGCGCCCTGCGGAGACACCGACCGGCCGCGCCGTGACCGGGCCCCGAGGCCCCCGGCCCCGCCCCCACCTGTGAGTAACTGCAGCGCTCGTGGTCGCTGCCCCCCAGCACGGCCCGCGCTTCCTTCTCCAGCTCCTCGTTCTCTGCCAGCACCTCCGCCAGGGACACCACGGGTTCCTCCGCGCCGCTCCCGCCGCTCCCCGGCTCGGCGCCCTCCGGAGCCGCCGCCTCCATCGCCGGGACGCGAAGGCCGAGGAGCGCGAACCGAGGCGGGAAACACGGGGCCAAGGAGGCGCCAGGGGGCGCCACAGCGGAAGCGGAATCGCGCGCGCCCCACGTGACCGTGGGCGGCGTGTCACCGCGGGGGGGGGCGGCCCGCGCGGCCGGCACGTGACCGGCGGGGCGGGCACATGAGCGGCGGGCGGTGATGGCGGACCTGGTGGCCGAGACGGAGCCGGGCCCGGGCCGGGAGCTGGTGGCGGAGCTGCGGGGCCGCGACGGGCGGACGCGGACGGTGCGGGTGCCGTACCCGGCGGCGGAGGAGGGCGAGGCCGCCCAGCTGCGCGGGCTGCGGGGGGCCCTGAGCGAGCTGCAGGAGCGGGTGGTGGAGCTGCTGGCGCCGCTGGTGCAGGAGGAGCGGGCGGCAGCGGGCGGCGCGCGGCGCGGTGAGTGGCGGGGGGGGCGCGCCGAGGGGGCTCCGCCGGCCCCGGGGCGCCGCCCGCGCCCCGCACCGTTCACCCGCGCCCGCCCGAACTCTGGCAGGTGGCGGCGGGGATGATGACGACGACTACGATGATGACGAGGAGGAGGATGCGGGCGAAGACGAAAACAACGTGGACGCGGCGGCGAGCGGCGATGACCCTCCGGTGAAGCGGACGAAGGTGCAGCAGCCGTGAGGGCGGCGCTGGAGGCCGGGCCTGCGCCTGGACAGGCTGTTCCGACTGTAAGTGTCCCGGGCCCGCTGCACGGACTGGCTCTTGCGGCGCTGCTGCTCCTGTTTAAATGCGAAATGTCCATCCCGACACTGTTTTAATACGGAAGCCTTTCCGAAAGGATGCGCCTGGGTGTGAGCAGCGTGTTGTTTACAGGGTGCCAGTGTTATGCTGGCACCAGTTTTTTGGTAAATTAGTTGGCAAGTATAGACTTTTCTCACAAATCATCTGATTGGTATGTTTTTAATAACTTATTCTGAGTCACAGTATTTCTTCATGTGACACCACTTTTAAAATAAAGCAGTAAAACTTCAAAAGAGTTATTTTGTCAAACATGATCTTTAAAAGTACAAGACAGCTTGTGTTTGTATGGAGAAAAAGCAACATAAGACCACTACAAGTATCAAAATTAACAAGCATATATAAGACTGGGCCCCTTCTGTACAGTCTTACAGTGGAGGATTATTTTTGCCTATCATTGACAAGGTTTAGTCACCTGTCAATCAAGAAGATTCTGTAAACAGGTATAAAACACTCTTGATAGTGACTCCATAGAGCCTTAACCCTAAGAGTGTTCTGTAGCAGAATTCAATTGCCTGAATGAATACTATGAAAAGCATTTTGGGTGGTTATTTTCATTTTCTTTTGTTCTCCTGGCACAGTTTGTTTATATATTATGGAAACTGAGCAAATCTTGAGACTTAGATATGTAGGACAAAGTGTGGAAATAAATGAACTTTTATGAGGACAAAATTGTCTGCAATTCGTTTGAAATGCAGGGAGGAGCCAGAAGTGAGGTTCAGTGAATGTGTCTTTGACATTTATGTACTCAGATACTCTAAGATACTCTGTTGGCAGATGGGATAGAGGCATAACTGAAAAGACCAACTCAGGTTGTACACCTGTTTTCCCTTTTCTTCCAGACAAACCTTCCAGAAATGGTATGAACTGTCTAATGGCTGAAAAGTAACATTTATTTGTGGCCTTTACCTATAAGCTGTGTAAACAGTCCACTGCCATGTCATGGACTGAAAATGTTTGGTCTAAAGCAGCAGACCCTAACTGAGCACAAGTGCAGGTAACATTCCAGTAATGGGATACTTCTTTTTTTTTCTGGTCAGCCTGGGCACAGGAATATGCTGCACCTAAGATCCAGAAAATACCAATGAACATTGAGTCAAAAACTAACACTCAAATTTCTTACTTTAAAGAATCCTTGCTAGTCCTTGTAGCTACCAAAAATTGTAGCTACCAAAACTTTCAAAAGACAAAAGAGCACTGGAGCTTCAGGAGACCTTATGCAATTCTAAGTTGTAGGTTTGTTTGTGGCAAAAGTGCCCTAACCCAACAAACTTCATTTTTCTGAGAGCTGCTGCGAGGTTACCAGGCTCAGGAAGCTTTTGTGGGATGTGGTTCCCTATCCTCCCACTCCAAAACAGCTGTGTTCTGAACCCCATATGGGGAGCCCCTAAGTCACCTGTGGCCCTGAATTTTAGGCAGAGGAGTTAAGCCTCAATGGAAAAAAAAGATGCTGTATTCTTCACCTCAGAGAGAGGTAATGCTTTTGTACCTAACCAGCCGTCAAGGGGGCACAGAACAAACTCGGTTCATCCCATCTGCACTGTTCAGTGCAGTTTGTATGTCTTACTAATAGAACTTGGTTTTACTGGCCCAAGGGGGCTCAATGGATTTCCTCACTGAAATAAAGGGGAGAATGCTGGTGTGTTTGTATGGAATTAAAAGAGCTGATGTGATAATAAATTCTGGGTAGTTAGATGAGAACCAACAACTTTTACTAGTTACAAAACATTACAACAAAAAATATCAAAGCATGTCTCCTTCACAATGACTGGGATTATACGACATACTCTGTTGTTACAGTTTTGAAATACTGAATTGCTGGTTCAAACAACTTTGAGGCTAAACTTCATGAAGGAACTTAACAGGTTGCAGTGTTCTGTGTTTAAAAAAAAACTAAGTCTCAAGTATACAAGGCACTGAGACAGTTCTGTGAGGAAGAGGAGGTAATCCCATTATGCCCAGTAATTGGGACATTGTGTAAAAGTGCTGTACCTTTCCTATCTCTCAGGAGAGGAATCCAGAGTCATCATTTTCATTAAAGGATTTGAATGCCATTCACGCGTGGCAGCCCATTCAATTCCCACTCACTCCATCTTAAGAGGTATCTTATACAGAAGCTATTCTGAGCATCAGATTCTCTGTAAAATACCCAGTAGTCTAGCAGCTGAGATGTCATGGGGCTTAACTTTTGGTGACTAGGTCAGCAGTGTGAACACCTGAGCAGTTCTGGGCACACACACCAGCTAAGTAGACTAGACTTGGGCCCTGAGGACTGAGCTGAGCAGAAGTTCCTTCTTATGGCTGTAGCACGTTCTTTCTTCCCAGAAGAAACCTGCACCATAGGGGTATCTTTAAGGAGAGCTAAGATAAGTCAGTTCTTAAAATTTAACTACATGATAAAATCATTAAACTGCTTTTGTACCTTAGGTCATTTGTAGAAAAGTTCAAAGACTGTGACATAAAAATCAGGATTTTTAAAAAACTAGTAAGAGAAACTAGAGCATATCCTTTTAAGAAAACAATGGACCAGACAAGAGAAAATAAGGAGAGTTAATACATATTCCGCAACAACTGGAACTTTTTGTTCAATCCTCAAATTTTTAATTTAAAAAAAGGAATCAAATTTGTAGTCCTACTTTGCTGCTGGAAGAAACATGTCAGAAGGAACACATTTTATTGTAACTTACTTTTGTCCAAGTTTGAAGGGCTGCAGCCTCATGTTACGCTCTTCATTGGACCTGCTCCCCCATGGCAGGAAATGAAGAACAGGCTTAGTAGCTCTTGTGCCAGACACATTCCTGAGATGGGAAGGGACTGTCAGGTAAAGGTCAAGCAGCTAAAGAAACTAACATTGAGACTGCTCAAGTGATGTTCAAGCAGTCTGACAATGCTTTATCTTGTGACACAAATGAATAAAAAGAAATCCAGGGTAAGTGGCATACAGATGATCATTAATCACCCTTGCATTACAGCTACTCTCTGTGTTGGCAGAACATTAAAGCTCAGAACGTTGCAAAACTTCAAGCTTGAGTATCCCAAAAGTTTGCAGATGGTGTCATTTTCTGTTACAGACAGGTCTTTGGTGACTCAGGTAAATCAGCCTTGACAATACCTATAAATTTTCAGAATAATAAGCTGAAAGCTATTTCACTACTTTTTTGTTGTTGTTGTTGTTTTTTTTTTTAATACTACAGTAAAAACCAATTTATCATTAATTTTAATAGTCTTTCTTTTATTTACCCTGTCGGTAAGATTCCACCTGTTGATGTTCCCCTGGTGTCAAAAATGCTGGAAGCACCAGCAGAGCTAACTTAGCTCTTCTCCTACTCCCACTGTCTTAATATTTGTATACACTATGTTAATAGTTCTCCAGTGCTGTTTTCCACTTCAAGCTCAAATCCTTACACACATAGCATTTGCTTGAATTAGGCTGTGTGTTTTTCTGTAGCTAGTTGCAAAGCACATGCCTGTCAACAGCTGGAATCCAAAACTAGGCTTCTGATGGAAGAGTCTAGGAACACACGCCTCCGTTCTGCAAGTCCCCGCCGTGCCCAGCACATGCTCCACATCCAGACAGCTTGGGTCATCCCACCAGGCTGCTAGTGGATTTCCTAAGGGTCACATGCTTATATGACAGAGAATTAGGTAGTTCTTCCTATCATTTTCTATTTTTGATGCTTCCTCTTATGCGCTTGGCTCTTTAAATAATTCCATCTGCATACAATGTAACTGTTCAGTTTAAAACTACAGCGTCAAGTTAAAAACAGTCCAGCCAGAGGTATCTCTCTCACACAAAAGCAAAGAAACAAGGGGATTCAGTTTCATCCAGCAAGCCCCAAAATTTCAGGCTACAAAGAAGTAATTAGGGCACGGACTATAAGGGGACAACAAAAGATAAACTGGACGTGCACACTGAGGGAAGGACATGAGCACAGGCTACAGTAACTGACAGGCAGCACTGCTGTCTGGCACCAAACATGCAAAAATACCCCACTAAAGCAAAAACAAACAACAAAAATGAAAAGCTATTGATAAGTATCTGCATTAATAGACTTGTGTTTAGAAACATTGAAAAGTTTTTATTTTATAGATAAATAGCATGGTGATTTTAAAAGTTGAGAAACAACACAACTTAAAAGCTCTGACTCCCCAAGATACTAGCTACTCGTCAGAGTTTATCATTTACTCTTACTCCAGCACACTAAGATGGCAACTTCCTCCTTTTCATATTGCACTTAGAAGTCAAACCCTTCTTGCAAAGGCTACATTGTTTTCAGGTCCTAGCACCAATGCTGACAATTGAAACCAGTGTCTCAAAGCATCTCCAAGTGCAAACAGAAAGTTTAAGGTGATGGAACTGCCATGCTGAAACACAGCAACAGTGAAAATAGTGTTCTCTTTCCAAAGCAAGAGAAAGACACTCCCCAGGATTCCCTTAAAGCAGTCGCAAATAGATTAGCATTTGTGATGACTGGGTATGGACAATCATATACAGTTGAAGTTATAGTCAAGGAGTTTAGCTTGTAATTCTTTTGAGCCTACTGCTTCTGAGAAGCGTATTTTGCACTGTTTTCATATTTGTTATTTTCATCATGGCTGGGACAAAAATTTAGTTATTCTCAGAAGAAACAGAAATGGACAGAAAGAAAGAGAAGATTCAGTCTTATTCAAAATATACTGTTCCAAAATAGCACTAAAAAATAGAGGTTGAAACTATGGCAAAGAAATCTCAATGGAATTTCAGTATGACTGAAGAAATTTACATTCATTACAAGAATGAGAAGAAGGTACCTTACTACTTTGAATTTCTGGAAGAAACATGATTATCTGTCTTACAACCTGTTAGTAGCATCCCCCAAACAGTTAACTTTCCCAAATTCAAAGTTTTTCCTAATATATCAGTTCTCTTGGAACACAGTTTTTCATGATGTCAGGAGTGAAATTAGAATGGTCATGAATTTCAGTAACTTATAATTTTACAAGCGAGATGACAGGCGAAGGAAACACAACAGAATTTCTGTGCAGACCACAGGCCAATGCCAGCAGAGGCTGCTTCTGATGTCAGAGGAACTGTTTCATCAAGGTCCAGTCCTATGCCACTCCTCACTGCCTGCCTACTACAGTGTGGGACTGCTGTGACTGAAAACAAGTAGGCTACCACAGAGAAAAATGTAGTTTTTCCCTTTAAAGGTTTGCACAAACTTTATTCTTTGCTTCCTGTTTTTGTATCTAAACTTATTTTTTAAAAATTCATTTAAAACAGCACTGATGTAGATAATAAAAAAAACAAAAAAAAAGAAAAAGCAAAGAATTGTGTTAAGTGCAGCTTTTATAATCATGTTCTTAATTTCTTTTTTCCTTTTACATTTATCACAAAAGAAGTATCTTTTCATTAATTTCACTCCAAGGGAAAACATAGGAAATCACTTTTTTGCACGGAGGAGTAAGTTGTAGACCAGAAACTTGTTTCCCCACAGGACATTTCAGATGGAGAGCTGCAATTTTGCATCATTAAGGCAAAATGAGGAATACTTCCATCACGTGTCACACAGGTCTCTCCCACTCTGGCCACTGGATAGATCCATAATTAAAAACCTTTGCAGTTACTTGTTTGTTTTAAATAGTAAACAGTCATTCTCTTCATTGCTTATCAGTTTAAAGAAAAGGCTCTTTCTGGCCTTCACTCAGAACTTCAGTCTTGTGATTAGATCAAGCATATGCAATTGCTTCAAATCAGCAACAGAAACTAGCAGTTGAGCTAAGTGTCAATTAGTTGTAATCTACTGATCTGATTAGAGGCCTTCACAAATGTTTGGTGACGATTGCAAATAACAGCCAAGCAGATAGGAATGATGCAATACCCAACAGTTTTGGGGTCAGCTCTTGTACAGGAATAGAGGAACAAGAACATCTGTAAGTACGGGATTAAAAATATTATTGTCCACAGCCAAAACGGCAGGGATAGCAGTCGTACTTTTAAGGAGTGTATCCATGTGGTTCCTTCCTGTGGTTCCTTGGGGTGTTGCTGAATGTGCTCCAGTGCTAGTTTGTTGTAAGTCTCATTGATTTCAAAGACGTAATAGAAAGCCGCAGCACTTGCTAGCAGGTACAGCCCCACGCCGATCCAGCCCATCCTCTGGCGGAAGTTCATCATTCTCCATGCTCTGCACCTGAAACAAAAGGTGACAGAAACATTCAGTACAGCTTGGAAAAGAGAACAGATGAACCCTGGTTTTCATAAGTTAACTTTCTATAACTTTTCATTACACATTAGTTAAAACACACACATCAATACTCTGCCAGCAACAGGTTAATGGCAACAACATAAGAAAGTCCACTGATGGCTCTGGATAGTTTAGGGCCTGCTGGCTATCAGGATATACCTGGCTTAACTCAGGTACTCAGGGAATAAAACAAAAGTCATCAATTGGGTAAGTTACTTACCCACTCTGTCCTCAATGTCTCTACACACAGAGTGGGGATAATGTAAGATTTTCTATAAATATGTAAAGTTTGGAAAGTTCTTTGATGCCTGCAAGACAAACATGCTGCTAGACAGCCAGTAATGGTACCATCACTGCTTGTCTGTGGTACAGCAACATCCACTTCTACTGAGCTCTAGCTGAGTGCCCATTTATGAACCACAGAAAGGGATATTTTCAATTTAACATGAGGTTCAAGGGTTAGGCTGTACTGAAGGTATGTACCTGCACAAATTATTGGAGCCCCACAGACACTACTGGGCTCAATTTGAGCTGCTTCAAATCTCCAGCTGGCCACATGGGTCTAGCTGACTGGAAACGCTCTTCAAACCAGTCACAAACACTTCAGCTGGAGTGTACCTCTACGCAAATTAAGCCATCACCTCTTCCCCTCCAAACAGCTCTTGCACGGGGCAGGGAGAACCACTGCTTCTTTGCACCTGATTAGGGTTCTCCAAAAAAATGCTTTTTCAGACCTCTGGGCTTTTACCTTTCGTACCTGTTCCTACAGAGGAGTAAAATCCATCTATGTAGTGCTGTTTTAAGAAAATATATCTAACCTTTAAAATACCATGCAGAAATGCTTACTAAAAAATGAATTATCCATATAAAACAGTAACAATTCAAGGAAGCATTCGAGAATTTACCATAAAGGTACAAAATCATTACACCATTCTAAATCACCCTGAGCCAGACTAATCTGGCAATCCTACTTCCTGATTTTACATAAATGAGGAATATCCTCAATCCTGACATGACAGAATCTGATCAAGACTGTCCTAGAGAAATTGTTCTGGCCCTCAGACTCCTGCATTCATGGTGACTACAAACATTCAGGGACATAAACACCTGAGAAGGAACAGTAAATACCTGAAAAGGAACAGTAAATACTTGAGAAAGCTATTGCAGACTTAAGCAATGTCAACTTCTCGGGTCAGCTGATCCTTCTGTATAACTCAGCTACACGTTTCCCTTTATTACCCCGAGTTAATATACGTTTAGTAGGACAACTGAAAAATTGTTGAAAGGAACTGTTAATCTCTAAGGTACAAACTTGAACCCCGGGTCTGCGTTTACCCGCTAAATAAACCGCTGGCTGTTTTTTCCAGCAGTTCGGCATATCCGAGCTGGCTCACGAGTCGTCGCCTTCGAGGAAAATAAATCGTCATAAGGTATGTACATACTGAAAACATAAACAGCATCAAAACAGCAGCAGATTTAAGAAGGTAAATATCAGAGCGTTTTGATCCTGCCATTGAGCACTAGCCAGAAGAGGAGCCTTAGCTCCCGGTTACACCGAAAGAGACTGAGCTAACAGAGTCATCCCATTGTTATTCTCCGTTTTCAGACCCAACTCCAACTTGCAGCTTTTGGGCACACCCGCGATGGTTCTCGGACCCCTTCAGCCCACTGCGGCTCTCCTCCGGCGACCCCCCGCACACACCGCCCGCCGGACCCGCGCTCCGGGCCAGACGCGCTTCGACGCCGGCAGCTCCTTACCTTCCTCCGGCGGAGAAGGAGGGAGCGGGAGGGCGGCGGCGGGCGGCCCGCTCCCCTCAGCCCGCGCCCGGCACGGGGCAACGGCTGCCGGGGCGCGCGGCCGCATCCGGGGCGGGCGCCTTGGCCGGCGGCCATCTTGGCTCGGGCGCGCGCCCCTCCGTGGCCGGAGTGGCCTCGCCCAAAATGGCGGCGTCGGCCTGAGGCGGCGCTCGGCTCCTTCGCGGGGACAGAGCCACGGTGCTGTGTTTTGGCACAGTGGCGGCGTGAGCCCGTCGAGGGGAGTAACAACAACGATTACTAAGGAAGTTACAACAGAGACTGAAACAGTCCAGCAAATGGCAAACGTGTAGTCAAGCCCCAGTATATGCTTATACATAAACATGACGTAGTAGATTATTAAATTAAATTATCAGGAGATATTATATGCTTACTATCCCATGGCAGCGGGCGTTGGGACCAGGTGATCTTTAATGTCCATATAGTTCAAACGTGTAGTCAAGCCCCAGTATATGCTTATACATAAACATGACGTAGTAGATTATTAAATTATCAGGAGATATTATATGTTTACTATCCCATGGCAGCGGGCTTTGGGGCCAGGTGATCTTTAATGTCCATATATTTTTATGATCTACTGGGGAAAAGCTTTTAATGACGCTAAAAGATCATTTAAATTGACAGCAAAATTAATACTTTCAGGTAGGTGCTGTTCCGTGAGGTGATGGCTTTGGGAGAGTTTGTCCAGAACCTGTTTGCCTGAACTCAGGAACTGTGACACGAGCTCCGTGCCAGTTAATGCTGAGACTGCCTCGTATTACATATGAAGTGAAACCTGTTAGTAAATTGTATGCTAAAGTAATGACAAAACTACCCTTTCTTATTGTGAAAGCAGCAGTGGCCACAATTCACTCTCATCAGCTGTCCTTAAGTTGAAGAAAGCTAAAGAAGGATTTTAAAATGAATGCCCAATAAGAAATAAAAGTTGCTAAAGCAATGACTTTTTTGTTTGTGTCCAAATACATAGCATCTTCTGCCACTTTTCTTGGGGAGGTAGCAGGTGCATGTGACACAGTATATAAGAGCTGCTGCTAAATCAAATCTATGGTGGATTGTCCTGCTATGTTTGGTGTTTCAATGAAACGCATTAGAAGCTGGTGTTTTGGATTATAGTCAGGACAGCTGATGAAGAAATGCATGGACGTGCAGATATCAGTAGAGGAAAAGGACACTGTTGAGAGTCCACAAGAGTCAGAAATACAAATCTCCTGTCATACAGCAACTTCAAATTAAGTTGTACTGTTTTGGGTTTTGTTTTTTGGGTTTTGTTTTGTTGGGTGTTTGTTTGTTTTTATTTTGTTGTTTTGTTATTTTATTCTTGTTGTTTTGGTGTTGTTGTTTGGTTGGGTTTGGGTTTTTTGTTTGTTTGGGGGATTTTGTTGTTGGGGGTTAATTATTATTATTGCTTTAATGCTCATTGAAGGCCTAAAAGTGACACAAGATGGCGCCCAGAACCACAGGCAGAGCCAACCTGAGCAACACCCTGACTCCCAGGTCAGAGATTTTACACTTTACTTCAGTTGAATGAAGATTTCATTATCTTTCATGAAGTTTAAATAAACCATTAGTGTAGTTTTGATGACAGATGTAGATATGAATAGCTACATACAGCTAATTATGCCGGGACACCTCTCTCAACTAAATGCCATTCTTTCCATTCTTACAGGTGGTGAGGTCCAAGCTGATCTAAAAGTGAATAAAGCTCCTGTGTGGCTGACAGACCTTCCACTCAAGCATGGCTATATTGCATTTTCTTATATTGAGGTTAGAGTTAATGATGAACCAGCTTATTTTAATAATACCCACCTAGATGTCAAAGAGGAGGCTTCCAGTATGAATTAGACTGTGTGAGCGTATGGCTTGGCAGTGGATACATGTGCTAAGTGTAAAGCCTGCATTTGCACTTAAGATTCTGAAGAAGAATCAGTGAAATGTGGACTTTATTCCTAAAAGAAGCCTGTCTTTTCACTGAATGGTTGGAGTTGGAAAGAGAGGATGGTTTAGGATTTAATCTGCTTGTAAACCAAGTAGGTTAAAAGACTCAACCGAAGGTCTTCTGTGATAAACATAGAGCCTGAGATTGTGGCTATAAAGAGAAAGATCTAAAAAATTTGAAGAGTTATAACAATCACAAGCTGTCTTTGAAAGCTAAGGCATAACACCAGACAGAGTGATTTGTGGTATTTTTGGGCTAGATCTCAATCTGTATAAATTCAGTGTTATGCTTAATCTCTGCCATAGTAAAGGAAGAGACAGAGCAAATAACTGAGGATTCATTGGCTGGTTAATTTTAGCAGCAGGCCTCTGAGGGGGGAGGGAATAATTCCAAAATTAGTAGAACAAGAAGCAACTGTTCTCAGCTTTAGACAAATTCCAGTCACAAGTGCTGGTAATAATAAGGGGAAAGAACTCATAATTCTGCATATTGAAATGAGAACATACACCTGGTGAGACTCAAAAGGATAATATTTGGCTTGGGAAACCAGAGAAGATAGAAGTCTGCTGAATCCAAAGGAAATAATATTTAATGAACAGAATCAAAGAATTAATCATGGGGTTTTGTAGCATTAAAAAAGAAGTGTTTGACCTAGTTTTGACATATTATGCATTTTTATAGAAATATTTGGTTTATTGTGAAGGTAAAGCAGAAAAGCAATGGAGCAGTAAGAGCTGGCTGCTCCATAGAGGGCAGGAACCAAGCATAATAACACAGGTGATGGGCCAGAGCCTCACTGCCCAAGCCCAGTCCCACAGAGCCTGAGCAAGGCAAGTAGGGAACGCTGGATTCAGACAGGAGTACAGTAACAAGGCAGGTCCAAGGTCAAGCTGTGAAGGCAGCCCACAGGCTAGGGTGTGATCCTGTGAGAACTAGGGTCAGACACCCAGACATCACCTAGCAATTGCCATGAAGGTCCACACTGATAAGAAAAGACTGAGGTCAAGCTAGGAAGTCAGTCTGTGACTCCAGATAAACATGGCGTGGCACAGTCATGGCTGAGCTGTGGACACACCCAGATACAGGTCAGGCATGAACTGAAAGCACAGGGCTTGGCTAAAGTGGGGCTCCTGAGCCCATGGGAGGGGTCAGGTGAAGATTGTTGGAGCTATTAAGGCCTGTTAGGATGTTTAGGATCCTGACAAACTACATAGGATAAATGAGAGCTGACAAGAGGAATCAGAAAGGTTAGTGGTAATCTTTAAATCAAACAAAGTTTTCACAAGTCAGTATTAATAGAATGTCTTTCCTAGGCTTAGATTTTGGCCAGAATAGAAAAGTAAAGGTAGAATACCTGAGATGATTACAAAACCAAAATTAGCTGGCCTTCCAAATGGAAGGCAGAAGCTGAAGGACAGAATGCCTCTCACATCCTTTTGGGTGGATCTTATGTTTATATTTAGCAGAGTTGTAGTAGGTTCTCACTGATAGGTAATCAGAAAGTGAGAATCTAATAACAGAGTCATTTTTGTCAAGACAACATTTGCCTTCATTTTGTAGGACACTGATTTGTGATTCATCTAGAACATCACATTCCTGGATCTTTTCCTTCTTAATCCTAACTCTAAGCCAAACTTTTGGCTAGAGAACTGGGATCCTTACAGACTACATATATGTTGGGATTTCAAGGAGAAAACTCATGTGAATTTTTATCAGTGAGTACATGAATGCCCAGAGTTTCTGCAGCTTGTAGCAGTTTTATTTATTAGATGTAGTTACAGTGAATTTTTTAGTATCCTGTTGTGGTGCATTAAGTTGTTTAGATCAGTTTCTTATAATTCAGTGTGAGTCCAGAACATTAGTTTGCTTCAATTCATATGCTTTATTTTATGTTTTTTGAATCTTTAGTTTGTATTTTAGAACTTTTGTTTCTTCTGAAAATAAGGCTATAATCTTCTAATTCCCTTTTTTTTTTTTTTTTTTCTTAGGTGGTTGTTTTGTCTGCTCTGCTGTCTTTCTTTGAACTTTTTTCTTGGAGACACCAGTTTTCTTATAGGGTGTAGCATATTCTTGCGTGTTGGGAACATGCAAGAAACTTTTTTATAGGATTGAATTTTTATATTTTATTTTTTCTCATTTTAAATTGAAATAGTATATTTGCTTGGTTTGGCTCCATTAACCACATGAAGAACTTCTATTCAGTGAGCTGAATGGTGATCTTTATCACTTTTGACTTACTTTGTTTACTTTGAATTTCTGGGACCTTAAATTACCTTAATCTTAAATTCTCAGTTCCTGAAATTCTGCTTCTACCGTTTGTTTTTTGGCAGCAGCCACATCTGAATTAAGCTTCAGGCAATCATGTTATCCAGCTTCTTTGAATACCATCCATACTTTGTTCTTAGTTGTAGAAATATTTATCAACTTTCCAACAAACTTTCTGATATTTACAAATGGTATAGTTATCTCATACTCTCAAACATCCACAATAAACATCTGCCAAAGGAAGAATTCCACACTACAACCCTTTGTCAAAGTGCCTATAAAGAACTGAGTCTTTTATGGAGAAGGGCCTTGGTATTTTAGACAGAACTCTTCACTACACTGATGCTCCTTTTTCATTACTTACCTCCGAATGTACACCTCATGGCCGCGTTATTCATTATTTATCTCTGAATAATACCTTGTTCATTATTTACCCTCGTGTCTGCATTGTCTGTGGTAAAACAATTCCGGCCAGAAAGAGATAAAATCTTTGCTTTTACATTCTTCTTTTCAGCCAATTGCAAAGTGGCTTCAAAGTTGAGCAAGAACTGACAAACATCTAAAAGGACATGGGCAGAGGTGTCTGGTAACTGACTCTTCCTCTCTGTAGCATTTATTCAAACAGAGGACAAATCAATTTATGCAGAAGCAATGCAGGTATTGGTCTCACAGCTCCAGTGATATGACCCAGCATTGTACTGGCCTTGGAGGAAAGAGAACTTTCTTGCAGAATTTTTCTCAAACCAGTTTATAGTTATAAATTGCATTTCAACAAAACCATTATTCATTACAATTTATTGTTTTTTATTAAATCCCCACAAATAATATAAAAACCACCCCAAGTCCACTTCCAAAGCCACCATTAAACTCCTGAGAATTCTGCTATTTCATGTTTTCAACTAAAGTTGATACATACTATCAGAAAGGAAGAGTTATTAAATTTACATGCTGAGTTTGCTGCTGTCAACATGTTTGGTCATCTAAACAAGTTAAAATGACCCATGTTAAAATGAAAAACAGAATCCTTCTTCTGTTCATATAAATAGTCCAAGAAAAATATTTGACCATCTCAGAGAGTGACTGCTCCATCCTCACAAGAGGAGTGATCTTTTTTTAAATTTCCACTAATTATCTCTCCTTCAGTGGTGCTTATGTGAAGCAAGTCAGTAATACCATAGAATTATTTTAAAGATTTAATTATTGCCTCTTCTGAGATTCCCACTTTCTAGGGTGTACCTATCTTGCTCTAGACTGTAAACAGTATGCAGCAGGGAGTATCTATATTTAGATTTTCCAGAAACATAACTTTCTTTTACTAAACAAATAGTGAAAGAACTCAGTTCAGATCAGGCCTTTTCCCAGGTTCAAAGCATCACAACTTTTTTGCATAGACCAGGATGGAGGTTTGGAGGTGGTAGACAGCATATTGTTTAAGATTTCAAAAACAGACCAAAACAACAACAACAACAAACCAAAACCAATGAAACAAAAACAAAACAAAAAAAAAGAGCTTCAAAACCCCAACAAAACCAAACCAACCAAACAGAAAGAACTTTATGTGTGTGTCTTCTAGGAACCTCTTCCCTCTGTTCTGTTAGAGCTTAGGAATTACCCATAGTTACTAACATTAAATTTACTGCAAGAGGCATATGTGTAAGATATCCACCCATATCATGTGAGGCTTCAAACATTCTTAGTCACAGAAATGTCTGCATAGATTATAAAAAAACAGAACTTGTCTGAGGCAATGGGAAATCACTGTCAGAGGTAGGCTGAATGACAGAAGTTTATCCAGTTTATCCAAGAATTTTTAATCCTGATGGTTTATCCAAGCTCCCGACCTGCAGAGCCCCTAATTTCTCATTGAAGTGCTCAGTGTAAGCTCAGCTGTCACAAGTGTACACTGTCAGCTCAACTGAAACGCCAGCATGAGAGGGGAGACTTTCATACAAATGTTATCAACTGGAAGTAAATCTTCATCCTCATCTGCATGGAGAGCTCCTGTTGTTGTCCTGTTGTTGTTGTTTATCTTTAGTGAAAGATAAAAGTCTGTTCACTGTAGCTGTGAAGCTTTTAAGTACTCACTCTTTTACCTGAATTTGCCTTTTTCTGAAGCCCATGCTAGAGGTCTGTACCAGAAATCAGCACAGATCCAGAGAATGACTCAAACATTCAAACAGAGATATTAACAGCAGTTGATGGTTACTCTCAAAGAGAAAACTTCAATAATTTATCAGTAAGTATTCGCATTTCATTTAACAAAAGCACATTAAGCATTATTTGCAAATGTTTAAAGCAAAAGTAATTTTATGTTTTTTCCTTACTGTGCAGAATTTTTAAGCTGCTGCTCTGTGATATATAAAATGAAATTTCAGTAATGCCTACTGTCATATATTCTGTCATATAATTCCAAGTGAATATTTAAATGTCTCCAGCTTAGCACATTTATTACTGCATTTGTTGGCATTCTTAAAGACAGGAAATGTCCATTTCTCCACACAAATGTATGCTTGATTTGCCTTTCACCAACACAATGTAAACATAGTCATCATAAAAACATGAAGGTACTGGGAGAGTAAAGAAATACACTGCTATGAGACTGTAACAAGTGTAAGTGCATCCAAATCAACACCTTCTCCACATGAAAAAGTATCTGGCTTAAATTAGTGTGTCACTGTATGTGCATTTCTGCACTGCTTTGTTTAATAGGAGTTAGAGCACCTCCATTCTAAAACGATGCCTCTACACAGTGCAGAACTTGTTTTCCAGGAGTTTATAGTGTTCTGGGTAACTGTGACCAGTTGAAGTGTTTCACCAGTGAATCCAGTGCATAAATGATGATGCAGTGGATTATGACGCAAACTTAAACCTATCCTGATCTGGGTGTTGAAGCAGAGGTTACCATTTCAAGGTTTTTTCATATTCTATTCTGTCACTCTTTTTTCACTAGGTAGAAACTAAAATTCTCGGGTTGTTGGCAAGTTTTTGCAGTGCTAGTTCTAAGTGCTCTGGCAAAACAGCCTCTGAAGCAGTGGAAATTCTTTAGCTTGGTAAAATTAGGCAGCCTGATACATTTCTGGAGTGGCTTCACACAGTGAAAATGCTTAGAGACTTGGCTAGCCAGCACTGCACTGGTGGGTGAGAACAGCCACCCTAACCCAGAAGGATCAGAAAGAACAGTAGAACAGAAGGTGTAGATGCCCCTTCTTTGGAAATCTGCACAAATAAGGCCCTCACAACCCCACCAATGTTAGCCAGCAACACAAGAGTTTCGTAACTGTAGAAAAATCTGTGGCAGCTGCATGTTCTCCTTTCCCCAGCTGCGTGAAGTGATGGCAAACCAGTCTTTTGGGGCTATTGTCATTGATAGCAAGTGGAGATGATTAGCCAAGAGGAGTTCAGGTTTGAATTCTCTCAAGATTGAGTAGGTGAGATCCTTTGAAAAGACCCACATGCCTATTATTGTCCCCCACCCCAATCCAGGCTTCATCATCTTCAGATTGTGGTCGGTCCTTCTGGCAGGTTATTTTGGTTTGCAGAGTAGCCAAAATCTAACCTGAAAGCACTATCAACTTTACCCTCAAGACATCTGGGGCTAACTTCTAATTCTCTGACTTATAAAACCATTTTCTTGAGTATAGTCCAAGTAGCTGAAAAATTACTTACGTGCTTGCAACACTTTTATGACAGCTCCTTGGCACATCCTGAGGCCTCTGCCATCTAAATGGTGGCATGAGTACTTTCCTCTGGTTTAGGCAGTTCCTCAACCTCTCTGATTTCTCCTAGCAGTGAGAAAGAAATTTTTCCTCTATGTGAAAAATAATCCCACTTCTTGGGCTTGGTGCAAATAACCACTACAAAAAGTGCTGAGACCTCAAAAAGAACATTCTTCTAACTTGTCCTCCATTTGATTTGTTTAGCTTCTTTTCCCAAATAAATAAAAGAGGGAGTGTGTATGTATCTCTATTTATGGCACAATTTCAAAAACACGTACATAGACCTCTTTTGGACATTGAGCTTCTGTAGGTATTGGGACAGTTGGCACTTGGGTAATGAATTGGGTTCTGATGAAGAGAATAGGTACAATGTTAGCTCATCCCTTATGAAACAATGGGAATCTTCATAGGCACAGGTTAGGACAAACTTTTCATCTATGTGAAAAACTTTCTTAGAGGTCACACCAGAAAACGAGGATCAAGGCCAGCAGTCTTCATCCGTTCAGTCACTAGCATTCCTTCCCCTCTCCAGAAGCTCTGAGAGAAGGGAAAATCCCAAAGGGCAGCATTGGCATTGTATGTTCAACTGCAAAGGCTGCTCTTGTACATGTGGTACATTAATATAAAGCACAGAAGTGGCCTGTTCAGAACCACTAGGAATATTTGCTGTGATCCTGTCTGTGGAAGTGTCCCTTTTAGCTATCAGAAATGTGACTGGGAAGCAATACCTGTGCAGGCAGATCCAAAATCACACTCTGGGATTGTAACGAGTCTTGCATTCAGACATGCTCATTGCCTAAGCTGTATTTACAGACTGTCAGGCACTGAGTATGTGAGATAATAAATTCAATAGCACAGTGATACAACACGTATTAATAGAATTTATCATCTATGCAACTACAAGTGTCTTACAGGATCTAGGCAATCTGAAATGTCTGAAAGTTTGTGATTCTAAATGAGCTATCTATTTCACTTTACAAGCCTGACCATCTAGTAAATGCTCAGAGCTATAAGCAAATTGTGGTCTCAGTTGATTTATTCCAGCTTTTTTTGATGGTGGTTTGGCTTGGGTTTTTCCCCTTTTTCCTTTTATACTATGGCTGATTAGCTTCTGTTTTCTATAACTTGTCTCCTGAATTTCCAATTCTTTTCTACATGACCTTTTTCTTTCAGAAGGGCTGCATGTAGTAGGAGGCAGAAATGGGATGTTACAGGACAGAATGTTGGTAATGTGGAGGAGATGTACATGTATATGAGACTGGTACTTGAGCAAAAGGGAAAAAAAAGTCTCTTTTGGTTATTGTGTGTGGTGATTAGATAATGTTTTGGAATGCACTCTGAGTGGGAAAAAGCCAAGGATGGGTGGTGACTGGTGGAGCAAGACAGGTTATATTCCTGCCTCCAGAAGAGTAGTAAGTAGGAGTCAAGTCAGTGCACCATTGGTGTGTAAGTGTGAAACGTTTGTGAGCACAAGAGGAACAGCACCTGACTCAAAGCAGGGCTTTCCCAACTGTGCTTCTAGATTATCACCCAGAAGCATCTTTAGTTAACCTCGGGATAGTTGTGGCATGGCTAAAAGAACTCTCGTCTGTCCAAGGGAAGATAATTTTGCTTAGGATTGAGGTTGTTTCCAAAAGCTTTTCTACATCTTGCTGATGAAACTTGAG